AGGACCTTGGGCAGACGCAGCTCTAGTGGGCTCCAGGGTCACCTTCATGCCAAGACTTGCCAGCACAGGCTCACCTGCACATCTGCAGCACCAATGCCCCCAGCCTTAGGCTGCAGATTCCTGGCCTCACCCCTAGGGAATGTAGGCTTGACACCACCCAGCATCCAGACCAGGACAGGTCTCAGCCTGCCACAGAGGGCAAAACGCAAGTCGACTAGAACCTTCCTCTGCCTTCCCATTCAGACTGTCAGAGCATCTGCCACAGCCCTGGGAGGGGGCTGACCCCACATACAAAGCACCCCCACTCCAGGCCTTTGGAGGAAGCCTGGGGATCAGGAGGCCTTGTTTAGAGTCCTGGCTCTGCCCACGCTCACAGTACCTCCCCAGCCAACTGGGCAGGGACTGTTTGACCATCTGTAAAATAAAGGGAGCTGGACTTGGTTCACAGGTCCTCATAGTGCAGAGACTGTGATCAGGAAGGAGTTAATGAGGCCAGGCTCTTCGTCAGGAAGGCAAGGGTTAATTTGGGGGGCGGGGGGTGGAGGCTCTCTCTGCTTTTCCTGTGGAGAGTGAGGTTTGGCCGCCACCAAAGTTACTTCTAGTCCCTGCTGTCCACTCCTGCCCTCAGTCTGGACCTGCCCAAGGACCCCTGCAATTAGGCCTCCCACGCAGAGGTGAGTGCACCCTGAGCCCAGGGCTGGGGTGGGAAGGAACCCAGGAACCTGAGGGCAGGAAGACTGGTGCCAAACTAGTGAGCCTAAAAGATAGCCCATGCCCAGAGCCAAAGCCTTGGGCAGAGTTGAGAACACAAACTTCCGGACTGGGAGAAGGCGAGCAAGGGGATGGAGGGACTGAGGCCGCCTGCCAGGCTTCTAGGGTGGGATGTCTGAGGTCCAGCCTCCAGGCTAGCCCGGAAGGCAGGGAAGAGGCTGTGGATGACAGACTATTTTGGTCCTTGTGATTAAGGACTTTTTATAGTCTCCTTGCTGGGGAGAAGAGGAGAGGACAGAGGGCACCCACGGGGTCAGACAAGCAGTGCCTTCCTGGGATCTTGGAATCCGACCCACTGCCCTGAAGAATCCCTGAGAGACAGGGAGGGGGACACTGCCAGGCTCTCCTTGGTTCCCAGGCCTCAACTACCCTTGGGCAGACTGAATGATGGGCATGGGGGTGGGCTGGGCCTGGCAGGGTCTCTGCCCCAAGGCCTCTCGAAGACCCTCTCCCTGCTTCCCTGGCGAGTTCTGTTCCTTTGTTGTCCCCAGATCCAAAGTCCCTCAGCCTCCCGGACTTAGGGGGAGTAGGGGGAGATAGGGTGGGGTCGGGTGTGCAGGGCCATGTGGGTGGCCCATTCTGTTACTGCTAAGAGAACTGTCAGCTCTTGATTTACAACCCCTCCTCGCCCCTTTCCCCGGCAGAAAGGAGGTGGAGAAGGGTCAGGAGGTCTCAGGATAAAAAGGGGACAAGGACCCTGAGGGCAGAATTCTGGGAAGAGCTCAAGTTATTAGGAATAATTAGTGGAAGGAACTTTTTAGTGAGGCAAGGGGCCCCTTTCTAACGGAAATTGCTTGGTTTTATAGCAGCAGGAATACACACAAAATATCAGTGAGAAGGTTTTTTTTTTTTTTTTTTTTTTTGAGACGAAGTCTCGCCCCATCACCCATGCTGTAGCGCAGTGCTGTGATCTTGGCTCACTGCAGCCTCTGCCTCTCAGGTTCCAGTGATTCTCCTGCCTCAGCCTCCCAAGTAGCTGGGATTACAGGTGAGCGCCACCACACCTGGCTAATTTTTGTATTTTTAGTAGAGACAGGGTTTCGCCATGTCGGCCAGGCTGGTCTGGAACTCCTGACCTAAGGTGATCCACCCGCCTCGGCCTCCCAGAGTACTGGGATTACAGGTGTCAGCCATTGCGCCAGGCCTCAGAGAGAAGTTCTGATAGGCAAGTGAGAGATCCAATCTGAACTGCAAGGCAAGAAACCTGTGTTCCAGTCCTGGCCCCTAACTCTCAACAGGACCCGAACAAGTCCCCCCCCTTCTCTCTAGGCCAGTTTCCTCCTCATGAAATGGAAATGCAAAGGTTAAACAAGGTAATGTTTACAGTTTGGCATTCCGAGATCCCCTTGGCAGGGGCAGAGTAGCTGGCAGTAGCTGATAGGGCCTGGGGACCACCTCCCTCTCCTGCCCGGATGGCCCTGCTGGGCCTGGGAAGGGCAGTTGGCTGCAATTACTGGAGGCTCCTACCCTGTGGTTATATCCCTGACCTCGGTGTTTGGGGGCGGGAAGGGTGGGCCCTGCTGGAGCCAGCCTGTGGCTGGGAGCCTCCTTGTCTTGTGCTCAAGGCTGCTGGGTTGGGAAGAGGTATTTTTTCCGGTTGAAGCCACTTTCAGGAATTGGGCCGGGACCAGCCGTTTCCTTTTCCAAGTGTCCTGCTTGCTGAGGCCTGCCTGCATGGCCCTGTGGCCAGACCGGGGCACCTTCAAAGGGGCATATGTTTCTGAGTGGCAAGAGAGATCCCCACTCAATGTCTCTGAAGGACGGAGAAAGGGATGGCCTGAGCCTCTACTCCCTGGACATGGGACCGGCTAACCTGGATGGGAGAGGGGTGGCTGACTGATCCCATACTGAGGAATGCCAGCAGAAGAGGAGCAGGGACAGTTCCTGTCTTTCCCCTGACCATTCCTCTCTCCCTGCAGGTCTGTGAGAGCCCAAGCCAAGCGCTCTTGGCCCCGTGGCTGGCTACTTATGAGGAACTGTCCTACCCAGCTCTGCTAAGATGCTCCTGGCCCCTCCCTCCACTCCGTCCAGAGCAAGGACCCCCAGCGCTGTGGAGAGGCTGGAAGCCGACAAAGCCAAGTATGTCAAGACGTACCAGGTGATAGCTAGGCGACAGGAGCCAGCCCTGCGTGGGAGTCCCGGGCCGCTGACGCCGCACCCCTGCAACGAGCTGGGGCCCCCTGCATCGCCCAGGACGCCCAGGCCGGCCCGCCGCGGAAGCAGCAGGCGGCTGCCAAGGCCTGACTCCCTCATCTTTTACCGCCAGAAGCGAGACTGCAAAGCTTCGGTGAACAAAGAGAACGCCAAGGGCCAGGGGCTGGTGCGGCGCCTCTTTCTGGGCGCCCCGCGGGACGCTGCCCCGAGCAGCCCCGCCTCCACAGAGCGACCTGCGGCTTCAGGTGGCTGGGCCGCGCCCCAGGATGCCCCGGAAGCGACGGGAAAGCGGGAGCTGTGCCCCACGTGCTCACTGCCCCTGTCGGAGAAGGAGCGCTTCTTCAACTACTGCGGCCTGGAGCGCGCGCTGGTGGAGGTTCTGGGCGCAGAGCGCTTCTCCCCGCAGAGCTGGGGCGCCGAGGCCAGCCCGCAGGCCGGAACTTCGCCGCCGCCCGGCTCCGGGGACGCCAGCGACTGGACGTCCAGCGACAGGGGCGTGGACAGCCCGGACGGCGCGGGCGGTGGCGGCGGCTCGGAGGCAGCGGGCTCGGCGCGGGACGGGCGCCCCCCGGTGTCGGTGGTGGAGCGCAACGCGCGCGTCATCCAGTGGCTGTACGGCTGCCAGCGCGCCCGCGGACCGCCGCGCGAGTCCGAGGTGTGACCGCCGCGGCTCCGGAGCCGGCTCCAGGGCAGTGCGGAGCGCGGGGCTGGCCCCGGGCACGGACGGGGACACCCCGCTTCTGACGCGCTGGGTGCCTTTGCGCAAGCCCGCCTTTGCGCAAGCCCTTGCCTCTGGAACTCAGTTTCGCGTCTGAACCTTGGAGAGGTGGGACAAGTTGCTGGCGAAGGCCCTTCCCTGAGCCCGCGGCGAAGGGAGAGGGAGGTGCCTCGTGGCCCCTGTGGAGGCCAGGTCTGGGGAGTCAGGACTCGGTGGGAGATGCGCAAACCTGCTGAATACAGCTAAAATGTAATTTAAATGGGGAGCTGAGGAAGGAGGCAAACCGGTTTTTGTGGTTAACCGAGCGGGTTCTGGAGTGTGGGTTCCCGACTGACTACTGTGTGACCCTGGGCAAGCACTTGACCTCTGAAGCAGCTGGACCCCTCCGTTACTAAGGAGGGAGGAGTACGGGATGCAAGTATTTCAAAATAGTTGTAATGCGCATGGCAAAGTGCCCAGCATAGAGAAAGTGCTCAATAAACGATAACTGCTGTGACTTCTACTGAATTAGTTCTAACACTGTTGTGATTTCCACCGGCCTCCAGGTCGATCCAAACTAGAGCTAGGAGCTGGGAATAGCGCGTTTTGGGAGCCTGAGGGGGCGTCTGCTCCAGAAATCTGGGGTCCACCAGATCCTACAAGGCCCCATTCCAGAAGTTTTGCTGCCTGGGTTGTGGTCACTGGGTATGAAGGGCTGAGATGTGGAGGATCCAACCTTTCGGACACGAAAAGAAGGGAAGCTTTTCTGCTAGCCCCCAGGCTCCTGCCACTGCCTCCCTTTCCTGCAAGGACACACAAGGTCGCCTATTTATCACAGGTTCGCACCTCTGAGTCTTCGTTCATGCACCTCCTTCCTTTGCTTGGGTTGCTGTTCCTTTTCTCTCCACTCTCCCTTCTTGGAGATTACGTATATTCTCCAGGAAGCCTTCCTGAATGCCCCAGTCAGCCTCACCTGCTCTGAGCTCCCAAGTACAGCCCTACTTTTGTGACTGAATTTGTCACCTTTTGTGGGACCTGCTGGTAGTCCGGGTTCTCTCGTTAGTCTCTGACCTTTGCCTAGTACAGGGACGGCGCACATAGTAGGACCACAGGCACAGTTTGTTGAATTAAATGAGGCTGGAGAGGGCAGTGGACGAAGTCCTGTGGAGCTCCCCAGCTTACTGGAAAGTTGTACCTTAAATAAAAAACCCATCCTGATATGCGGGCTGTCTTTGGTCATTTTCCCCTGTATGTTTGGTGAGGCGAGGATCCCTCCAGCTGGACCCCGCCCGAGGTCGTCCCCACAAAAGCAGCCTTTCTTGATGTCCGGACAAAAGCACACAGTCACACAGGCTGTCGGGCCAGGGATTTTATCAGGGATGGGAGCAGCGGGCGCTGGGTTCGGCCAGCCTGCTAGTCGCCCTTGGGCGTGGCCTTCACTCTCATCTCGGCCAGTTTGTGGGTGAGGAAGCCCCACTTGAAGCCGGCCACCGGCTCGGCCTCCTGCGACTCGGGGCGCTCGACGGCCTCGTCCCCGAGTTCGGGGTCCGGCTCTGGGGTAGGCTCGGCGCCGCGCAGCATGGACGCAGCCGCCGCCTGCTGCTGCTGCCACCTGCTGGCGAACGCGTCCCAGAAGCCCGGGCCGCGCGCCTCCGCCGCCGCCGCCTGCGAGGGACTTCCCGCCGCTAGAGGGCTGCGAAAGAGGGTCGCGGTCAGGGGAGCGGCCGAGCGGTCCCGAGGAGAACATCGGAGAGGAGGCGGGGCCGAGGGACGGGTTTAGTGGGGTCGGGGGAGCCCAGGCCGACTCAGGAGTTCTAGTGAGGCGCGGGGTCAGGTGACTACAGGGGGACAGGGTCGAGGGGCGGGTCAGGGCCTGGAGGCAAGGGGAGGGCTCAGAGGCCCTGGGAAAGGGGGCTGGGGTGGGACAGGGTCAGGGGATTAGGCGAGGGGTGTGGAGGGAGGGGACAGTCATCGGGATCCCTGGGGAGACAATGAGGTCAGGGGTTCAGGCGAGGCTCGAGGAGGGACGCTGGAGGCGCGCGTAGGTCTGGGAAGCTGGAAGGATCCGCGGGAGAGCAGGTGGAAGCGGGAGGGGCTGTTTAGATCCCACCCGAGGGATGCCTTAGGGAAAAGAGGTAGGGCATGGGCAGGGCACGGTCCTGGGATTGAGGGAAAGGGGGACTAGGGACACAGGAGAAAGGTGAAGTGACAGGAAGGCCTAAGTGAGAGGCTTAGGGGAGAGCAAGGGGACTCAAGAGAGGTGGGGAGATGTGGGGGGGAGGACAGTCAAGGAGAGGTGATGGCGCTTGAAGCTGAAGCCTCGAGTCCGAGAAGTTCCTTAGGGAACTGGGGATGGGTATGTGGGGGGAGGAGAATGGAAACCTGGGGGAGGGAGAGATGGATGGGTCTTGGGGACCCTAGGAGAAAAGAATAGGGTCAAGGGTGAGAGGGGGATGTGACCAGGATGGAGGAAAAGGCAGAAATGGAGAGTGTGCCAGAGATAGAGCCAGGAGGGAGACTGAGGTCCCAGGTCCTACCCCCTAATCCTGGGCATCAAAGACCTTCTAAGACAGTGGTTCCCAAAGTAGGTGCTGCAGGGTCCCGGGTGGGGAGCCTGCTGAAAACAGCTAGATCCCCAGGGCCCTGCCACGCCTGCCGAATCGGAGTCTCTGAAGGAGGTCCAGGAATATGTTTGTCACATGCTTCCTTGGAGGGTAAGGTTAGACAGTATTTGGGAACCTTTGATCTGGATCACCTTCTGTTGCAGAACCTATAGACCTGAAGCTATTCTCCGTTCTCGGATTTTAGAGAGACGGCCCCTCCTAAGTGGATGGGTTGAGAAAGCCCATAAATACCTTCTAGCACCTCAATCCCAACAGCTGGTCAATTCCTCCTGAGATTTACCCTAATCTCCCAGATTTGCCGATTTGGCCTGTTTCCTGCTGAGAGAAACAGAAACAGCCTGGGGCTGCCCCTTCTCAGCCCTCTGTGGTTAGAAAGACAAACTGACCAGAAAGAAAGGACCAGGCAGAGGGGGACTGCAGGCCCCTTCCAGAACCACGCCCAAACACACACACACATACTGGTCAGCACAAGGCTCCGGTGGCAGCAGCTTATCCTCATCTTCTTTGTTAAACAGAGATGACATTGTCAGCCAGCCTTTCATCCCGACTCCCTGAACCTGGGAAGCGGGGTGGGAGTCAGGAAAGGGGCCCAGCACAACCTTCCAGGACTCCAGAGAAGCCTCTGCCAGGCTGCCTAGGGTTGGTGTGGAAGAAGAGAGAAGACTTACCCGGCGGGCCAGCTGTGACATGGGATTGAAGGTCTCCTCCATTGGTTCTGCCATCTCAGACTCCACTAATGCTGGGTTCTCCCTCTGGGACACAAGACCCCCCCCACAGCATGAGAGAGGCCGCAGAGGAGTGTGATCTCCCTCCCTCACTGCTATCCTAGTACACACAGACCAGGTACTCCAAACCCCACAGAACTAAACACACCTATACACCCCACAGCTCTGCAAGAGCACACAGGAATGTATACAGGTATACCTGTAGAGTAAATCCCTGCAGACACCATTTTTTTTCTTTTTCTTTTTTTTTTTTTTTTTTTGTGAGACAGAGTCTTGCTCTGTTACTCAGGCCAAAGTGCTGTGGAGTACAGTGACACGATCTCGGCTCACTGCAACCTCCGCCTCCTGGGTTCAAGAGTTTCTCCTGCCTCAGCCTCCTGAGTATCTGGGACTACAGGCACCCCCCACCATGCCTGGCTAATTTTTGTATTTTTAGTAGAGATGGGGTTTTACCATGTTGGCCAGGCTGGTCTCAAATTCCTGGCTTCAAGTGATCTGCCCACCTTGGCCTTCCAAAGTGCTGGGATTACAGGTGTGAGCCACCACAGCCGGGCTACAAACACCCTTGAGCACACATACCTGCCCACCACAGACACACTCATACACACCCAAAAGCACATGGACATGGGCATGCACCCTGATGTAGACACACACCTGTACGTAAGCATGCCTGTACATAGACGTATGTGTTTGAGGTACCTATACAAGAACACACACAGTTATACCATTTACACCTGTGCACTTATATAACCACAGACAGCTGCACAGAGGCCCATCCGCAATACACAAAACCTCTCCCCCAAATACAGATACCAAAACACACACAGCATACAAACATAACACCTGCAAATGTCTACACAGAGGCATGCAGTCATAGACTGCTGCCCAAAATGTTCACACCTGCACATACACCTTCACTGGGGATTCCACCCAGACACTGATCACACCACTTACCCACAGACACTTCTGCACAAGCCCAACCTCTCCAGACATTCAAGAATTCAAACCATTCCCTACCCCTCTGGACCAATTCCTGCCACTGCCACATTTTGTGATTGTGTGACTGCCACTTATCACAGCCTCAGACATAAGACTGTCCATAGTTTCAGAAGCTTTGCTGCTGCTGTTGTTTTGAGACGAGGTCTCACATGTCGCACAGGCTGTAGTGCAGTGGAGCCTCGACCTCCCTGGGCTCAAGCGTTCCAGCCACCTCAGCCACCTGAGTAGCTGGGACTACAGGTGTGTGCCACCATGACCATCTATTTTTTTTTTTTTTTTGTAGAAAGAGTGTTTCACTATGTCACCCATGCTGGTCTTGAAATCCTGGGCTCAAGTGATCCTCCTGCCTCAGCCTCCTGAGTAGATAGGATTATAGGCGCCCACCACTACAGCCAGCTAATTTTTGTATTTTTAGTAGAGGTGGGGTTTCGCCATGTTAGCCAGGCTGGTCTTAAACTCCTGATCTCAGGTGATCTACCTGTCTTGGCCTCCCAAAGTTCTAGGATTTCAGGCATGAGCCACTGCACCTGGCCTGGTGTCTTTTTTTTTTTTTTTTGAGACAGAGTTTTGCTCTGTCACCCAGGCTGGAGTGCAGTGGCACAATCTGGGCTCACTGCAACATCTGCCTCCCAGGTTCAGGTGATTCTTCCAAGTAGCTGGGATTACAGGTGCATGCTGCCACACCCAGCTACTTTTTTTGTATTTTAGTAGAGACGGGGTTTCGACATGTTGCGCAGGCTGGTCTTCAACTCCTGAGCTTAGGCAATATACCCAACTTGGCCTTCCAAAGTGCTAGGATTACAGGCATGAGCCACCGCGTCCGGCCTGGTCTGTTTGTTTTTTAATGTCAGGACAAAGCATGGTCTCAGTATGGCTTTGATCTGATGCCGTTACAGTGGCCTTTCTAGTACAGGTGCCACTCCCCCTGCCTCTAGTAACAGGGGACTTACTACATCACTCCCACTTTTGCTCCCATTAGAAAGCTGTGTCCAGCTAAGTGTGTTCGTGTGCCTACTGCCCACTTGTCCTAGAAGAATCTCTTCCATGTGGCAGCCTCGAGATCTTTGGAGACAGCAGCCACTCCTCCCATGGTCCCCAGGTCTTTTCTTCTTCCTCAGTTTTCCTGAATGTCCTGGCTTTCTGATGCTGCACCGTGCTCTTTACCATCCCTGAATGTGCCGTCTGCACAAATGTGTCCCCCCACCTCCAAGCCTATTCTGTGCCCCACTTCATACCACTCATTCCTGCTGCCCCTCTGCACATGCTCCACCTAGCATGCATGGATGGCACCCACCTCATCTGCCAGGTCTTCCTCAGATTCCCCACTCAGGGTCTGTAGCACTTTGGACTTGTAGGTTTTCCAGAAGGCCTGGTTCATGGCTGCAGGGGGAAGAGGCCCGGCATCCAGGCACAGGAAGGTGGTGGCTCAATGGATACCAGTGAGTCTGGCTCCAGGAACTTGGTGAGGCCAAGAGCCTGTCCGACGGATCTGGTGACTTCATTAAAGATGCACCAGCCTCCCCAGCTGGCACAGAGCCCAGGAAATGAACCTGATCCAGAGGAGTTGGAGGGAAGGTGATGGAGGATGGAACAGGCTTCCACCATCTTACCCCCTTGTCTTGACCCATATTGGCCAAGAATAACGTCTCTAGACAGGCCTTCTCTATCTCTCTGTCTCTAGGGAGGCCTTCTTTATGGGCCTAGAAATACTTGAGGTTGTCCATCTCTTAGCATGTCTCCAGGAAAATCTTCCATGCACAAAATCCTGAGGAATGGGACCCACACTGGAGCCCTGGTGACTATGGTCATACCAGTTGTATCCTCAGCAGGGCTCCACCCGGCATCCCTACTCAGCCTCAATGAGCTGGAGTGGAAGTTCCCCAGGCCCCCAGTGGGCACCTTGGACTTACATTTCACTTCTTTGTCTGGGCTGGAAACTGATTCCTCTCCCCAGGGATGCACGTGCCTGTCTCCTTGTTTCCTGGCAACAGATTCCAAAGAGCTGGAGTCCCTGAATTATTGCTAAGCTCCTCTGGCCGCTTCCAGCTGAGTTGGCTCTGGCCAGCCTGGGAGGCACCAGGCTCCTATGAACAGGGAAAGGTCCTCTAGGCTTCTGCCCACTCTGAGTTTGCAACACCTGGGTCTTTGCTGCCAGCCCACCTCTGGGAGCCCAGGGCTTAGAAAAAGGAGGCAAAGATGGAGAGGTCTTTCCATGAGTACTTGTGAGAAGAACTGAGCCCTCTGGAGTCTGGATGCCTGAGAACTGCAGTCTCTGGGGAGGAACACCCTTCACAGAGTTGACTGAGGGCAGAGGGAGGATGGAGACTCAAGAGATAACTGGGGACCAGGGAGAAGTGGTGAGGGCTTTTTCAGGGACTGGAGATATCTCCGGAAGCCCTGTTAGGGCTGGGATTCCAAACTCATTCACTCTCAGTCATATATTGATTTATTCACGACACAGACATTTATCAGTGCTTTCCAGAGATAAAGCATCCCACCCCCACCACAGAGTCCAAGGTCTGGGAACCAGGAAGGGATGACAGGGGTAGAGGTTGGCACTGAGACTTGTTGGGCCAGGCCAGGGAGAGCAAGGCAGCAAGACGGCCCCGAAACCCCCAGACGCACGCACCACCCGCGCCTCCCCAGCGAGGGCCTGCGTGGCCTTGCCCTTCAGTGGGCATACTTTTGGGGCCCCGTCCTGAGCTCGGTCACTGACGTCGACGGCCGCCTGGGGGCGCTCGAGCCGCTGGCCGAGGGAGTGACGTCATCTGTCGGAAGCGGTCAGGCCTAGCCTCCCTCGCTCCCCGGCGTCTCCTGACGTCGTTGGGCGACCCGGAAGCGCCCACACGTGTACTCCTTGCTTTGCTCCCGGCCCCTTTGCCGGGCTTTTTCTGGCCATGGGTCGCTCCCGCCGGACAGGCGCGCACCGAGCGCACTCCCTAGCCCGGCAGATGAAAGCGAAGCGGCGGCGGCCGGACCTGGATGAGATTCACCGCGAGCTGCGGCAGCAGGGACCCGCACGGCCCCAGCCCGACCCGGACGCCGAGCCGGACCCCGACCTGCCAGGGGGCGGCCTGCACCGCTGTCTGGCCTGCGCGTGAGTACCGGCCGAGCCCGGCCTAGGGCGGAGGAGGGTCCGAGGTACCGGCCGGGAAATGTGAAGTTCGAGCCCCTGGCGGCGCGGAGTCTTCTCTCTTGGGACCCGTGGTTCCTCCCGCCTCCAGTTCCTCAGGCTCAGATCCTGGTGTCAGGGACAAGCTAGGGCTAGGGAGATAGGTGTACTTGGTAGACATCACCTCCTCACTCTCCTTCTCACTTCCCTCCCTACAGGAGGTACTTCATCGATTCCGCCAACCTGAAGACCCACTTCCGATCCAAAGACCACAAGAAAAGGTATGAAGGAGTGAGGAGAGGATTGATGGATGGGTGCTCGGCAGATAGGGCTCGCACCTGGTCAGCTCCCAACTCCTATTCTTCTTTCTGCCAGGCTGAAGCAGCTGAGCGTCGAGCCCTACAGTCAGGAAGAGGCGGAGAGGGCAGCGGGTATGGGATCCTATGTGTCCCCCAGGCGGCTGGCAGTGCCCACAGAAGTGTCCACCGAGGTCCCTGAGATGGACACTTCTATCTGACATGGCCTGAGGATGCAGGGCAAAAGAGTTGCTCATGGACAGTGACGCATGGACTAGGCTGGGAGGGGGTGTGCCAGCCCCTTTTGGCGCTGGGTTTGTGAAGCGGATGGCCTCTTCTGGGTGCCCTGCCTCCAATAAAGGAACTGGACAAAGAGAGCTTGCCTCCAATTCTCTAACTTCCAGGCCACCGTCCCAAACTCCTGCCCTGGAATGGTTTCTTTACTACTTTCTGTGCACCAGGCCTAGGGTGTCTACCCTCCACTTGGTCTATCTTTGGAGCCTGCATCCCTGCCTTCCCTCTGAGGTCCTAGCATCTGAACTGGAACACCCAGATGGAGCCCTGATACAGTGTGGGGTGGCAGGAGTGGGATCAGATTACTCTGTCCTGCTTCCGACATAGAATGATCCCCAGAAAAGAAGCAGGCTTCTGAGATTGCAGCCCCCTCCTGAGTCACCTACCTCCAGCGTCCAGGTGAGAGTCAGTCTTCTTTGTTATGGGTTCCGTGGCAGCCGCCGCTGCCCCACCATCTTCCAGACCGCATAGCAGGAGCCACCCAGCCCGAGGACAGCTAGCACTGTAGCCACAACGCCAGCCAGCGGACTCCGGGGCTCTGCCTTCAGCTCACCAGCTATCTGCATCTGGAGGCGCACAGCCTGAGGGATCAGTTGAGACTTCCAGGAAGGTGGGGAGTGGGAAGGGGATGAGTAGGTGCAGCTGGGGGAAGGAGACATGGATGCCAGTGCTGCCCCAGGGAGATTCCACCCCAATCCCTTTCGCTTCACTGCCCATCTGGGCCTCTGCTGCTCAGGCGGCGGGGAACGTGACAGCTTGGCTGTTGGGGGTGTCAACCCAGCTATGGTAGGGGGAAGAAGGGGTCAGTCATGCCAAAAGCCGTTGATCAGGGGTACTTACCTGTAGCACCCGGAAGTAACCAGGGGTCAGGCGTCGAAATCGCATGGTGATCGGCACTGGTCTCCCTGGTGGCCTGTAGGGTGGGAGCAGATGTGAAGACCAGCAGTCTCCATGAAACCAAGAAGTGGAAACTAGGGTAGAGGGGTTTCTGACCTTCTATATGCGCAAGACCCAAGCCCTCAGAGGATGCTCACCCGCGCCTTCTGCCCAGGTCTGCCAGGGGGGCGGGGCAACTGGACCTTTAAATCTGGTCCCTTCCCCCACTGCCTACCATCCTGCCAGCCTTAGGAGCAGCTGTCAAAAGAGATCAGCATCAGGCCTGAGCAGCACCTCCCCCACTCACTGAGGAGGCTGGTCCGGGTAGGCAGGAGAGGCCTGGGCTGGCAGTGCTCAGAAGTCCCAGGCCTGGACCAGGTACTGGGCAGGCCTCCCTCAGCCCCGGTCCGGGCACCATCCCTGCCGCAGATGATTGGATACCACCAATCAGCATTATCGAAGGAGGGGGAGGGTGCCTTTATTAGCTCCTCACCATAGTATGCCTTTTCCACTTGAATTTCTGTGAGATCAACCACATCTACCTCAAGGGAGGGCACATTTAACCCATTTCTTCAAGACAGTTTCTGCAGGGACTTCCCTGCCCTCAGCCTGGGAACAATAATAAAAGCATATCTGCATATACCAATTCAGAAAGTTGTCCATGACACGTTAAAAATAGTAGTCATTGCTCTAAGCACTTTACTTGTATTATTTAATTTGGTATTGATTACCCCTTAAATGAAAAAGTATGGCGGGGTAGCTCTTTGGGAGGCTGAGGCAGGCAGATTGCCTGAGCCCAGGAGTTTGAGACCAGCCTGGGCAACATGTGAAATCTCATCTCTACCAAAAAAAAAACCCAACGAAACAGAAGCAAAAATTAGCCAGGCATGGTGGTGCATGCCTGTAGTCCCAGCTACTCGGGAGGCTGAGGTGGGAGGATTGCTTGAGCCCAGGAGACAGAGGCTGCAATGAGCTGAGGTCTCGCCATTGTACTCCAGCCCGGGTGACAGAGCCAGACCCTGTCTCCAAAAAAAAAAGAAAAGAAAAAGAAAAAGTTTAATTTGCAAAATAGTATGTAGACTATCTGCAGATACAGAAAATAAAAGAATATCCCAAATTTAGCAAAGACCACCATTGGGGAACATGATAGAGACACACTGGGGAAAGGGCACGTCCTCCTTTCATTTAATCTATCACCTTTGAAATGTATACAGCAAATATGTAGAACTTTATATTCATAAAGCCTTTAAAATAGGCCAGGCATAGTGGCTCACATCTGTTATCTCAGCACTTTGGGAGGCTGAGGCAGTCAGATCACTTGAGGTCAGGAGTTCAAGACCAGCCTGGCCAACATGGCAAAACTGTCTACTAAAAATTCAAAAATTAGCCAGGGGTGGTGGTGCGCACTTGTAATTCTAGCTACTTGGGAGACTAAGGCATGAGAATCACTTGAAACTGGGAGGCAAAGGTTGCGGTAAGCCAAGACTGTGCCACTGCACTCCAGCCTGGGCAGCAGAGCAAGACTCTGTCAAGAAACAAAACCCTTTCAAATAGAAGCTGCCAGCCAGGCAGGTGGGTGGATCACTTGAGGTCAGGAGTTCAAAACCAGCCCGGCCAACATGGTGAAACCCCGTCTCTACTAAAAATACAAAATTAGCCAGTTGTGGTGGTGCACACCTGTAATCCCAGCTACTCAGGAGGCTGAGACAAGAAAATCACTTGAACCCAGGAGGTGGAGGTTGCAGTGAGTTGAGATTGCGTCATTGCATTCCAGCCTGAGCAACAAGAGCAAAACTCCATCTCAAAAAAAATAAATAAATAAAAATAAATAAAATAGAAGCTGCCATTTATTGTGTCCCTAACTGCCTAGCCCTGGCAGGTGCCGGGAGCACAGAGTAAAGGCGCCGTGGTTCAGGGAGGAAAGGGGCTGGTTCTCACCTCTGGTGCCAGCTCAGGAAAGGTATTTGATGAAATCAAGATCTGTCTACCGAACACTGTGATAAAGGCTCTCTTAGAATTTATTGGGCTTTCCCGGAGTGCCACAGGGAGGCTGCTATATGAAGAGGCAAAAATATTAGAAGAGGATACAGCTCAGAGTGTTCAGGGGACACAGACTCGAAGCAAAGGACAAAGCTGGAGATGGGAGGGGCATTTTGCAAATTTGAAGCCAACTGGCTCACAAAATGAAAGAGGCTGTTAAGTGTGAAGGGATGGCCTCACCAGATCTGGCCAAGTTCAGAGAAGCCGGAGCTCTTAATTTGCATGTGAAATTATTAAATGATGACAACACACATATACTGCATGGGCCCAACCATGGGTGAAATTCAGACTTTGGGTCTCTGGGTTACAGGTAAGGTTGTGACAGGCTTTGAAGGCTGGGATGCTGCAGAAATTCTGAAGTAGGTGACATAGCTCCTCCCCACAGAATTAAAGCAATAATAACTATATCGACCCCATGATACAGATTTCAAAGTACTTAACATTATCACAGCTCTAAGGTCTAGGTATCTCCTTACGGAGAGGAAGAAACAAAGGTGTAGAAGTTGGGCCAAGTCACATAGCAATTGAGCAAAACTGATTTTATCTGATTATAAAGCCCTGGGAGTCCCCTGACCTGAGATGACAGTGATGAAAATGAACATTTAGTATGTGTCAGACATTTTTCTAAGATGAAAGCTCTTACTCTGGGGTTCAGAATTCAGGGGATCTGCTGGGCGTGGTGGCTCACGCCTGTAATTCCAGCACTTTGGGTGGCTGAGACAGGTGGATCACGTGAGGTTGAGAGTTTGAGACCAGCCTGACCAACATGGTGAAACCCCATCTCTACTACAAATACAAAAATTAGCTGGGCGTAGTGGTGGGCACCTGTAATCCCAGCTACTTAGGAGGCTGAGGCAGGAGAATCAGTTGAACCTGGGAGGCAGAGGTTGCAGTGAGTCAAGATCGTGCCATTGCATTCCAGCCTGAGTGACAGAGTGAAACTCCGTCTCAAAAAAAAAAAAAACAAAACAAAACAGAATTCAGGGGATCCATAAACTTGGGTGGGAAAAAAATTATATTTTTATTTTCGCTAACCTCTAACCAAAATTTATGATTTCCTTCTACATGGATTGAAGTAGTAGCAGTATTTTTGGCTTAGTCACCAATAGAAATCACAGGTATTTTCATATCAAATTGCAAATATCTCAAAATATTTATGCTCGTAATGATTTCTAAATCACAGTTGTTGTTAAACCACCGCTAAGTTGTATGTGAGCACCTTCTGTTTCAGATGTTCCTGTGATGTAGCTGCCATTAACTGGGCACCTCCGGGCCTAGCAGTGGTTCAGTCACCAAAAGGTGAATCTGCCTGTTTTCGATAGGGCTTCTCCACTCCTCTGCATTCCCTGTCTTTAGTTGTTTGCTGATCAATATGTAAGAGGAAGTGAGTCAAAAATCACCCTACAGTTGGTTGACAACACACTGTGGTCATTAAAAAAGGAAAATTTAACTTTTGGCCAGTCTTAATGTTAATAAACACATATTATAATATCATAAATTTGTGGTTTTCTTTTTTTGAGTTCGGGGGGGGTCCTGCTATGTTGCCCAGGGTGGCTTTGAACCCCTGGGCTCGAGTGATACTCCCCACCTCAACCTCTCGAGTAGCTGGGACATCAGTTGGGTGCCAGTGCTCCCCACCTCCAAATTTGTTTTTAAATATAGTTTTGATAATTGCTCTCATTACAATCCTAAGCATTTTGTTTTGTGCCTTTATTTATTTATTTATGATACAGGGTTTTGCTCTGTTTCCCAGGCTGGAACGCAGTGGCACAGTCTTGGCTCACTAAAACCTCCACCTCCCAGGTTCTAGTGATTCTCCTGCCTCAGCCTCCCGAGTAGCTGGGATTACAGGCGCATGCCAAGACATCTAGCAAAGTTTTTGTATTTTTAGTAGAGACGGGGTTTCACCATGTTGGCCAGGCTGGTCTTGAACTCCTGACCTCAAGTGATCCACCTGCCTCAGACTCCCAAAGTGCTGGGATTACAGGCATGAGCCACAACGCCGGGCCTGTTTTATGCTTTTATAAGCAGCTATTCTGAGAAAGCATTCATGGGCCTCACCAGATGCCAGAGTCCATAATGCAAAATAAAAGGAAGGCCAAACAGCCCAGTTCTAAAAGTTTTCAAGCTATCACTCAAATACTGTGCATAGCTGCCCTTTGAAGTAGGGTCTGTTTTATCTGTTTTACAGACCTAGAAACTGAGGCACAGAAATGAGGGTCAGCCCCAGTTCATGCAGCTAACAAGAGCTGGCCTAGGCACCCAGGGACCCGGCCCCTCACCTCTGTGTTTTGCTACTGAGCTTACCGCTCCTCTTGTGGCTTTTTCTTGAGGAGCCCAAGGGTCTGGGCCCCACCCCAAGATCTGAGGCCAGTGGCACTGCCCCCTAGCCGGGGCGAGATGACAGAGCCCTAGGATGCCTGAAGGGCGGGGAAGGAGGCAGATGGGCGTGGACCAATGGCTGTTGCAGCGCCTCACCTGGCCGTCTCTGTGGGCCCAGGTATGCAGTAAGCTCCGCCCGGGACCCAGCCCAGCCCCTCCCCAGGCCTGGGCTCTGGGAGCGGAAATTCCGGCGCCAGCAGGGCAGAACAGGAGCTGATTCGAGCCGGCGGACACCAGCGGAGCTGGACCATGGAACCCGTAGAGACCTGGACCCCCGGAAAGGTGGCAGCTTGGCTGAGAGGTGGGTGGGGCTGGGGTGGAGTTGGGCTCGAAGGGGACTAAGTGTAGTGTCCCGTCGGAAGAGGGAGGAGGAGAGGAAAAGAAAAAAGAGCCTTCGGACTGGGTGCGGTGGCTCACACCTGTAATCACACACTTTGGGAAGCCCAGGTGGGTGGGTCATCTGAGGTCAGGAGTTCAAGACTAGCCTGGTCAACATGGTGAAAACCCTGTCTCTACTAAAAATACAAAAATTTATAGTAGAGCTTGGCGTGGTGGCAGGTACCTGTAATCCCAGCTACCCAGGAGGCTGAGGGAGGAGAATCGCTTGAACCTGGGAGGTGGAGGTTGCAGTGAGCCAAGATCACACCACTGCACTCCAAAACCTGTGGATTCTATCAGTCTGTCAGTCAGCAAGTATTTACAGAGTGCCTACCATATTCAGGTACTGTGCTGGGCAGAGAGACAGACAAGATGACCCCAGGGGGCCCAGTGACCCAGAAGGGAGTCCCTCATCACTGCAGCAGCCCAGGAGGCCTTCAGGGTGGTGATGGGGAGGCGGTGTCATGAAAACAGGAGGAAGGCCTGGCAGGCCCACGCCCACTGCATCTCCTTCATCTTCCCTGGCCCCAGGGCCCAGTGGGCTGTTGTTAAATCCATTTCATAGAGTCAGAAACTGACACACAGGGCCAGGAAGTGATTTGCTCTGTCTCTGGTGTCATTTGTCCCCTCTCCATACCCTGAGCTCCTAGTGACAGAAGCAGAAGCCCTGGGCCTGACTGAAGAGGTTGACACAGCCCCACCCTGGGGCTCCTATCCAAGGGGTAAGGTGCTGTCCAGGCTCAGCGAGCCCAGACAGATGGGAAACAACACACCCCACTGACAGACTCAGAGAAGGGAGGGCCTCTTGACATGGTGCAGCTGGGGACAGGCAATCAGGACACCCCTCCCAGAGTGGGGAGCTGGAGCCCACTGGAGGCAGGCTCAGGAGGACGAGCCCGGGTAAGGGCACGGGTTCAAGGCTGGGGTCAGACTCCCAGGCTGGATTCCAGGTTCACCTCCACCGCTTGCCAGATCTGTGACCATAGATCTGTTTTTCTGTCCATCAAATGGGAAAGGCAACTCTGATCTCATGAAGTAAAAATGAGACAATCATGGCAAGGCTCATTTGTAGCTCAATAGCCAGGTCTATTGGGAGGGCGGCAGCCCAATACAGTCACCATGCAGGAAGGAAGTGGCTCAGAGGCCCATAGCCAAGGAGTGACAGGTTCATGAACTCCCAGTCCAGTGCTCTTAAGGTGACACAGGGAACACACACACCCGCCCCAGTGAAGAAGTCTGGCTCAGGAGGGGAAGAATTCCTTCGAAGAGTGAGCAAGCTACTTAACCTCTGCTCTGTGTCAGTTTTCCTATCTGTAAACAGGATAATGATAGTCTTTACCTCGTAGAAATGTGAGAATCGAATATATTAATGTGTGTAAAGCTCTTATAGCTTTGCTTAGCACATAGTAAGTCCTCAATAGACGCTTTTCTTATTTTTGAGTGTCTACCTTGTCCAGGCACAGGCTGGGGGATCCCCCAAATGCTGAGGGCAGTGGGAACAAGAGGAGAGCCCCCCAAACCCAGCCTGGGAAGTTATGGAAGGCTTCCTGGAGGAAGTTAGATGAAAAAGGAAGTGAAGGAGCTAGAACAGCAGGAGAAATAGCACTAGTAAGGACCCTGGAGTAAAAGGGTGTTCCAGGAGATGCAAGGAGTTAATTCTGCGCATCTGAAGTGTTGAGTTTGAGGGGCTCTTCAGGAGTTGATGCTGGAAAGGGAGGTGGCACCCTGATCATACAGGGCTGGTAGGTCATGGTAAAGTCTGGCGGTAATAATATGATGGCTGTTATTGACTGTCTCCCATGAACCAGACAATGGCCAGGGGCTTGACATATGTCATATCATTTAATAAACACATGATTAGGTAGGTACTTTTGTTATCCCCATGTTACAGGTGAGGAAACTGAGGCACAGAGCAATGCTATTTCTTGCTCAAGTGTTTGCACTCAGGTCTCAGTGACTCCATAGCCTCTTGTTCTTATCCCCTATATATCATTAGTTCTCAAACTTAAGGGAGCACCAGAATCACCTGCAGGATTCATTAAACTACAAACTGTGGGCTGGGCATGGTGGCGTACACCTGTAATTCCAGCACTTTGAGAGACTGAGACAGTCAGATTGCTTGAACCCAGGAGTTCTAGGCTAGCCTGGCCAACATGGTGAAACCCTATCTCTGCAAAAAATACAAAAATTATCTGGATGTGGTGGTGTGTGCCTGTAGTCCCAGCTACTTGGGAGGCTGAGGTGGGAGGATGGATTGAGGCTAGGAGGTCAAGGCTACAGTGAGCTGTGATTACATCTCAAGCCCCTGTCTCAAAAAGAAAACAAAAACAAAAATACAAACTGCTGGGCCCCAACCTCAGAGTTTCTGATTCAGCAGGTGTGAATCAGAAACTGAGAATTTGCATTTCTAACAGGTTCTCCAGTGAGGCTGCTGCTGCTGGCCTGGGTACCACCTTTTGAGAGCCCATGCCCTATACTCTCCTGCTTCTCAACTCAGTGGCCTCATCTGTGAAATGGGCAGAGCAGCCTGGGTGTCAGGATTGTCATTAGGGTTAGACTTGAGGGAAAAGGGCTTTGCAGGTGTGAAGAACCAGCCCAAAATGTCCTGATGCCTCTGCTTTCCCTGAGCTGACCCGTGCTCTCCCTCCAGGTCTTGACGACTCCCTGCAGGACTATCCCTTTGAGGACTGGCAGCTGCCTGGCAAAAACCTGCTCCAGCTCTGCCCCCGTAGCCTCAATGCTCTGGCTGTGCGGTCTCTGGGACACCAGGAGCTCATCCTAGGCGGGGTGGAACAGCTCCAGGCCCTGGCGAGTGAATGCTGGTTGCACTGGCTGGGGAGTGCTGATGGGGGGCTGGCTGCTGCCAGGGAAGGTGACTTGCCCTCTCTCTGGCACAGAGCTCCAGGCTACAGACAGGGAACCTGCAGAGCCTGACAGAGGGACTACTGGGGACAACCCATGACTTCCGGAGTGTAGTCCAAGGCCGCCTGGGGGACTGTGCCGAGACCCCTGTTGATGTCCTCTGCGCGGCTGTTGAGCTCGTGCATGAAGCCAACACCCTCCTCTTCTGGCTCCACAGGTACCCAGGTTTGGGTGACAACAGGGGGACTCTTGTCATCCATGGCCTCCTTCAGGGTGCGGGAGAGAAAAACGGAGCTTGGCTCTTGTTCAGATATGGTGAGCCGGGCGCGGTGGCTCATGCCTGTAATCCCAGCACTTTGGGAGGCCAAGGCAGGCGGATCACTTGAGATCAGAAATTTAAGACCAGCCTGGCCAACACGGTGAAACCCTGTCTCTACCAAAAATATAACAAATTTGCCAGGTGTGGTGGTGCACACCTGTAATCCTAGCTACTCGGGAAGCTGAGGCAGGAGAATTGCTCAAACCTTGGAGGCAGAGGCTGCAGTGAACTGAGATTGTGCCACTTCACTCCAGCCTGGGCGACAAAGTGAGACTCCATCTCAAAAAAAAAAAAAAAAAAAAAAAAAAAAATATATATATATATATATATATATGTATATGTATATGGTGGAGCAGGGCAAAGGGGTTAGTCCACCTATGCAGAGCCACTGGGATGCCTGGGTTCCCACTCCACCCTCCAGCTTGTAATAATCAGTATCATCAACAACCACTGAATGGACCCTCCCCCACCCTGTCCACTGGCTGCTGCTTGTCCTGCAGACCCCACCTCAAATGTAACCTCCTCAGGGAAGCTTACCCTGTTGTACACTCTCAGAGCTATACTATTAATAATAATAATAACATTATAAACTCATTATCCAATGTTTCATGATACTCATCACAGCTGAAGTTAAATTGATATTGATGTATGATGTCTTTAGTATCTGTTTCCCCAGTGCCCATAACAGGGCTTGGCATGTGGTAGGCACAGGACAAATAAGTTGTGTGCTAAGCTCTTTAGGTGTCTCAATCATCTCCTTTACTCTAAAACAAAACCCATCAGAGCAGGTATTATCCCCAAGTCTCAGGTGAGTAATTGGCTCTGAGTGGTTAAGCACAGTCCCTTAACCACTGTGCCATCCTTCCCCTGCCAGCTACCTCTTCTCCCACTTAAATGACTTCTCGGCCTGCCATGAGATCCGGGACTTGCTGGAGGAGCTGAGCCAGGTCTTGCATGAGGTAGGAAAACCAAGGGCCAGGCTTGGCCCATGCCCTAGAGACCAAGCTGGGCTGGAGCTTTTTATAACCTGTGAATCAGCCCAGGATCGGGTATGAGCACTGGGACGTGCGAGACAGGAAGAGAGGAGGCCCTGCTACTGGGTATGGGGCAACGGGGCCTGGGGTCTCCTAGCTGGCAGGGGAATTTTGACACTCAGGATAGGGTGGGAGGGGAGGGCATGTGTGGTGACTTCTGGGGACCTGATATCAGGGACATGTGCCCTTGGGGTTGAAATGCTAAGGCCCTGTGTTTCCGGACAGGGGGCCAGTGTAGGGAAGGCAGGAAGGGACTGCAGGGAATTCCACCCTGCCCACAGGAGAAGGCAGTCCCCTTATAGCCCTTGCTCAGGGGAGGCCCCTGCTCTCTCATTCTCCTTCCAGAATGGTCCAGTGGCCGAGAAAGAGGGCACAGTCCTGAGGATCGTGAGTCTGTGGGGTGGGAAGGGAGTGGGGGTGGGGGGCGATTGGGCTCAGATTAGACAGCCCGCTCCCCTTCCCCAGTGCAGCCACGTGGCTGGGATCTGCCACAACATCCTGGTCTGCTGCCCCAAGGAGCTGCTGGAGCAGAGGGCCGTGCTCGCGCAGGTGAAGCTGGACAGTCCGTTGGTGAGCCCTGCCTCTCACCTCTCACTTCTGACCCCCTGGCATCCTTGTCTAGGCCCTGAAGTGTGGTCCAGGATACCGCAGAACCTTGTGTTGCCATGGCTAGAAAGCCTTTTTTGTACAGATGCTAAAATGGAGGCCCAGAGGACTTGGCCAGGGTCTCCCGTTGCTCTGCACCTCCCCAGTCCTGAGGGGCCACATGGGTGTGGCCTTAGGTAGCATGTTCCAGCCTTGGGACGGAGATAGGGGCAGGGGCTCCAGGGCACTTAGGAGAAAGGGAGAGGACATGACCTTTCCTGATTTAGCCTTGGGACGGTGATGGGGTCAGGGGCTCCAGGGCACTTAGGAGAAAGGGAGAGGACATGACCTTTCCCAATTTAGCCTTTGACCAGTTGGGAAGATCAGAGCCCTATCCCTGCCCTTCTCTGCTAGTCCCTTCAGGAACATTGCTGAGAAGCTGGTACCTCAGAAACCAGTGTCCGCAGCTTCCCTCTGGCTCTTAGCAGAGGAGAAGGCAGAGGCCCAGGGGAGTAGCAAGTCCAAAGTCACACAGCAAGTCTGGGGCCAGCTTGGGGTCAGCTCTTGCCACAGTTCCACCCACCATAGAGTCCTGGTGTTTGGTGGGGGTCCTGCCTGCCGACCCTCTTGCCCCCCAACCCCCAGTGACTGCAGCCTCTGCCTCTGTAGGGTCTGGAAATTCGCACCACCAGCAATTGCCAGCACTTTGTGTACGAAGTGGACACCCAGGTGAGAGCCCCATATCCTTCTCAGCCGCCCACCCCGAGGCCCCTCACCTACCAGCCAAGCCAGCCTCAGGCCCCATTCCCCATGCCAGGTTGCCACCGACTCCCGACTTCAGATCCAGCCTGGAGACGAGGTTGTCCAGATCAACGAACAGGTGGTGGTGCGTGAGGAGAGGGACGTGGTCGGAGGTGAAGGGGGCACCAAGTGGAACCCAAGGCTGGTGGGTGGGGGAGGCAACCAAGGTTCTGTCCCGGGGAGACCAGGGTTGTGGAAGCTGCCTTCCAGATGAGCCAGCTTAGGCTGGTGAGAGCATCCTTTGCAGAGCCCCGGTGATGGGGCCCATGGATGCTCCCAGGAGGCTACATGAGGGAGGCAGAAGTGGGAGGCTGAGAGAGAGCCCCTAGCATGAGGGTGGGAGTTGGTGGTTGCTTTACAGCCTCCTGCCCAGCTTGATGCCAGCCAGGGTCTCTGTCCCCAGGTGGGATGGCCCCATGAGAACATGGTGAGGGAGCTGCTTCGGGAGCCAGCTGAACTCAGCTTAGTGCTGAGGAAGATCCCGATGCCAGAGACCCCCCAACAGGTACCTGCCCCACCCCCCCCAGCTGCCTTCAGACCCCCTCACAGGCATCTTCCCCTGCCACCCCCCAGTTGCCTTTAGATCCTCCCCACAGGTACCTCCCCCCGCTGTTCCCCATCACCTGCTTTCAGACCCCTGTCCCCATCACTCTGTTCCTGGTTGTTCCCCAGACACCCCCACAGGTCCTGGACTCCCTGAGCCGGAGGAGCCCATCGCTGTCTCCACCCCCACTGTCTCCCAGGTAGCAGGCTCTGCCCAGGTGTCTTGGTCGGGGCACCATGGGCTCCTCTCATTCCCCTTGCCCTCCCCAGGGCCCCATCCGAAGACGTCTTTGCCTTTGACCTGCCTTCAAACCCCAGTCCCGGACCCAGCCCTGCCTGGACAGGTAGTCTCAGAGCCCCATGGATGCCCTGGACATGGCATCTGGGCGCCCAGTTCTGACCCCAAGCCTGGGACTGGGCTCATGGACTTTCCTCTCTCTCCTTCCTCCTTGACAGACTCTGCCTCTCTTGACCCTGAGCCCCTGCCCATCCCCCCAGAACCCCCAGTCCTATTCCCAGCAGGGGTAGCAGAGACTCCAGGACTCCCTGAGTCTCCTAACAAGGTAAGCTCAGGGGCTCAGCAAGGAGGTGGGTGGGTCTGTACCTAGATCCTTCTCTCACCCTTCTGATGTCCTTTCAGAGTCCTGTTGCTGGTCGGAAGAAATCAAAAGGTATGAGGTGCACTGGACAGGGTGGGGGTCCCCCTGTCTGAGGAGCTGTTAGAAATCTTTACATGCTGGGCAAGATCACCCTCTATCCTTCCCATACAACCTCTCCTAGAAACATTCTGTTTCTGGGGTCAGAAAGAGCTGTGCTCCCATTCTGGGCCTCTCACTAGCTCTGTGACTTTGAGCAAACAGGTTAGCTTCTAGTCTTCAGTTTGCTCATCTCTTAAATAGGAAAGGTCATCCCACCTCAGGAATAACACATGTAGCGTTCTGAGCAGATCGTGGGTTCAGACATCTCACGAGGGGATGTTCATGGAGGGCCAGGGAGCAGGTTTGGTGGGGGGCGCCTTGCCAGCCCCTCACTGCCCAGCTTGTTCTGTGCTGCTACAGGCCTGGGGACCCGGCTGAGCCGCCGGCGCGTGTCATGCCGTGAGCTGGGCCGGCCAGACTGTGATGGCTGGCTCCTGTTGCGAAAGGCACCTGGTGGCTTCATGGGCCCACGCTGGCGCCGCTGCTGGTTTGTGCTCAAGGGACACACGCTCTACTGGTACCGCCAGCCCCAGGTAAGACCCCATACACACAAATGGGTAAGCAAGTGAGTCACCTCCAGGCCTCGATTCCCATCTCTATTCTATCATTCACTCTTACTCCTGGTCCCAAGCTCTGATGTTCTCATCTGTAAAATGGGGCTCTCTTCAGAGAGAAATGAGTTACTATATGCATAAAAGCAGTTTGGAAAAGGTATCACCGGACATATAGAGAAAAAATCTTTTTTTTTTTTTTTTCTTTTTTTTGAGGCAGAGTCTTGCTCTGTCACCCAGGCTAGAGTGCAGTGGCACCATCTTGGCTGACTGCAACCTCTGCCTCCCAGGTTCAAGCGATTCTCCTGCCTTAGCTGCCCCCACCCCTTGCAGGTAGCTGAGATTAAAGGCACCTGCCTCCACTCCTAGCTAATTTCTGTATTTTTAGTAGAGTCAGAGTTTCACTGTGTTGGCCAGTTGGCCTTGAACTCCTGACCTCAGGAGTTTTTTCTTAAGAGATAGGGTCTTGCTATGTTGCCCAGGCTTGTCTCAGACTCCTGGGCTCAAGCATTCTTCTTACTTCAGCCCCACAAAGTGCTGGGATTATAGGCGTGAGCCCCCATGCCTGGCCAAAAAATCACTTTTATTCTGCCCACTTCTTCTCCTTCCGATATTGTGTCCATCCCAGTGATGGGCCATTCATTCTCTCATTTATTCATTCAGCATTCAGATGCCTAGTGTACACCCAGCTCTAGGCTGGGCACTATGAACACTTAGAAGAGTTGGGTAGTTTCTGCTTCTCCAGAACTTAGATGCCAGTAGGGGAGAGGAATGAACACACACTCAAGGACAATGTAGGGACCGTGCACTAAGATAAAGGGAAAACCCAAGGGACATGTGGGAGCACAGCAGAGGTGTCCAGTCCATCCTGAGGATTCCAGGTGCTCCTTGACAATGCAGTACCTGGGGGTTAGTCGCATGGGAAGGGGAAAGAAGACCAGGAAGGGAAAGCTTAGGGTGTGAAGCAGTTCAGTTTGTGTCTACTGAAGGAACAAATGCATGAGCAGGCTCTTCTTGTTTTGTTTTTTGATTTTTATTTTTGAGACAAGAGTCCTGCTCTGTCACCCAGGTTAAAGGGCAGTGGCATGATCTCAGCTCACTGCAGCCTCAGCCTCCCAGGTTCAAGTGATCCTCCTGCCTCAGCCTCCTGAGTAGCTGGGACTACAGGCATATGCCGCCATGCCTGGCTGTTTTTAATTCTTTGTAGAAATGGGCATGTTTCCCAGGCTGGCCTCAAACTCCTAGGCCTCCCAGTGTGCTGGGATTACAGGCGTGAGCCACCATGCCCAGCCTTCAGGCCCCTCTTTTTTTGACTATTCCTCCGATATTTTTGGCTCCCCTTTCCTGGCTTAGAGGCATCCTTTGGCCACACCTCCCGTTCCCACCCCAGATTCCAGCCCTGAGCTCCAGAAACAGAGAAACTTGTTAGCAAGCCCAGGAGATGCCTTCTGTCCTCCACAACCCTCAGGAGCCCGAGGGGTAACTAGGAGCTGACTGGGCCTTGAGGTTATTGGGGTTCCAACCTGACCCTGATGTTGTGATCCTCCCAGGATGAGAAGGCTGAGGGCCTCATCAATGTCTCCAACTATAGCCTGGAAAGTGGACATGATCAGAAGAAGAAATAGTTAAGTCTTGGGGTATGATGGGCTGGGGGACAGAGGCAGAAAGGGAGAGGAAGGGTGATGGGGTAGCAGTGGGAGGTATGGCAAGTGGCTGGGGCGCCCAGAATCCAGCCTGTCTGAGCTCTGGGTGGGCACGCCCGGGCTGAGTAAGGCTTCTCCACTCCCTGGCAGCGTGTTTCAGCTCACCCATGATGTGTACAAACCCTTCATCTTCGCTGCTGATACCCTGATGGATCTGAGCATGTGAGTACCACCTCCCTTAGCCCCTCCTCTCATGTAACTCCCAACCTCTTTGAGCTTGGGAGCCTGGGCTCGGGAGCCTGGAGATGCAAATCCCAGCTCTCTGAGAGTGGTTGATCAAGGTACTCAAGGTACTCACTTTCTCTCCCTCCCTCTCTCTCTCTCTGTCTCTCTCTCTGTCCCTCCCTCCCTCTCTCTCTCTCTCTCTCTCTCTCCCCCCCCCCCCCCACCCCGACAGACTCTCACTGTGTCGCCCAGGCTGGAGTGCAGTGGTGTGATCTTGGCTCACTGCCACCTCCACCTTCTAGGTTCAAGTGATTCTCTTGCCTCAGCCTCTCAAGTAGCTGGGACTACAGGCACCGGCCACCATGCCTGGCTAATTTGTTTATTTTTAGTAGGGTTTCACTATGTTGGCCAGGCTGGTTTTGAACTCCTGACCTTGTGATCCGCCTCCCAAAGTGCTGGAATTGCAGGCATGAGCCACCGTGCCCAGCATCTCTTTTTCTAATTAAAAAGTTTTGGGGGAGATGAGATTTACCATGTTGCCCAGGCTGGTCTCAGACACCTGGCCTCAGGCAATCCTCCTACCTCAGCTTCTCAAAGCGCTGGAGTAACATGCTAGCCACCACACATAGCCAGCACTCGCTTCTCTTCCCTGTTTCATCATCATAAAATGGGTACATAAGAGTTCATTCCTCTCAGAGTTGCTCCAAGGATCATTAGATGATGATGTGGGTAAAAAGCCCCCAGCATACAGGAGGGCCCCAGTGGATGGAAACCCCCTGAGACTCGCTTGCTCTCCCTAGGTGGGTGCGTCATCTCATTACCTGCATCTCCAAGTACCAGTCTCCAGGCCGGGCCCCCCCACCCCGAGAGGAAGGTGGGTGTCTCACGGGGTTGAGCGGGAGGAACCCTCACCTGAGCCTCTGTTTTTCCTGGGATGGGGGCTGAGAACTCAAATGCTCTATACCACTCTCTGGCCTCCCAAAACCCTGTGGGTTCCCTAACTGCTCCTTCTCACCCCAGACTGCTACAGTGAGACGGAAGCAGAAGACCCAGACGATGAGGCTGGGTCCCGCTCAGCCTCAGTGAGTAGGGGGCTGCCTGGGGTAGGAGGTGGGGGTAAATAGCAGGGTGTGGAGCTCAGATGGAGACCCTCTGTGCTTTCCACCCTGTCTGCAGCCCAGCCCTGCCCAAGCTAGGAGTCCCCTCCATGGAGATACGTCACCTGCAGCCACCCCCACACAGCACAGCCCACGGACCTCCTTTGGCTCTCTGACAGGTACTGGACTGGAGTTGGGAGCTGGGCTGGGGGCTGGGGGAGCACATCCTCATCCTGCTCCTCCCTCCCACAGACAGCAGTGAAGAGGCACTGGAAGGAATAGTACGGGGGCTGAGGCAGGGTGGTGTGTCCCCCCTGGGCCAGCCATACCTGACCCTGGATCAGTGTCGGAGCTCTTTCATGCGGCGCAACCGAGACCCCCAGCTCAATGAGAGAGCGCACCGTGTGCGGGCGCTACAGAGCACACTCAAGGTTAGGTGGGGGCTCTGGGCATGGCAAGGGACTAGGCTCCGGGCTTCAGGCTTTGGTTTGCAGCTCTCACCTCTACCCTGGGCACCAGACTCCAGACTCGGATCTGGACTCTGGGCTTAGCAGCTGACAATGGGCTCAGCTGTGGACTGGGCCAGGTTCTAGGTTCCAAGTGGGGATTTGGGTCTCACCTAGGCTCCTCACACCATGCTGACCAGGTGCTGGCTTCCAGGCCCTAGACTGCAGAGTGCAGTTGGGGCTCAGACTCTGCCTACTTCCCAGGGTGATTGTGGTCCCTCAGCCCCTCCTCTCCACATAGGCAAAGCTGCAGGAGCTGCAGGTCCTGGAGGAAGTACTGGGTGACCCAGAGCTGACTGGGGAGAAGTTCCGTCAGTGGAAGGAGCAGAACCAGGAGCTGTACTCAGAGGGCCTGGGGGCTTGGGGAGTGGCGCAGGCTGAAGGCAGCTCCTATGTCTTGACCTCTGACTCCAGAGAACAGTCCTTCCAGTCCCTGCCCTCTGACCCTGAAGATTCAGCACTCCCATCTCTGCCCTCTGACCCCAGAGAACAACCTCCAACCTCTTGACCTCTGACCCTGGCCAGCACCCTAGCTCCTGACCTTTGACCTGACAGCCACCTCAACCCTAGCCTCTGACATGTCCAGAACAGAGCATCCCTGGATTCTGTTCAGGGTGGGAAGTGGTACTGCTAGTCATGGTCCCACCCCGAGCTGACCCCTCTGCCTAGGCCCCCATCATTCCCACTCCTGTCCCCCCTGGAACTGGGTAAAGTGAAGTGAGCTTTGTGCCACCCTCTCCTCCCTTGCCAAAGAAGAAATTCTTCCACCTCATCCTCCCATCCCTGGGGACACAGCCCTGCCCCCCAGCCCTAGTTCCTTGGCAATTCTCCCCCAAACTGGGTCTGCACAGGTGTTCTTTATTTTACATGAGGGACACTTTCCAACCAAATAAAGTCAATTTTTCTAAAAATGAGTCTATATGTATCTTTACTTTCGTATTAGAATTGGAAATCTGCCCCCCGGAGGGGACTGAAGTGAGTGCTCTTGGCCAGAGGATAGGTGGCTGACCCTTTGTGCAGCCTATCGGCCTGGGCTGCCCCTGAGCTCCAAACCTGCTAGGGTGGTGGGTGGATGACCCATGGCTAATGAGGGCTCTGACTCATGTCTACCTCTCCCCAGCTCTTAGAAGGCTAATGGTGATCTCCTACCCCATTTCCGGGGGGACACAAAATGAGAAACTCACTTTGCAGATGGAGAAACACACCTTGCACGGAAAAGTGGTAGGGACAGCGCTGGAGACTGGGCAGGTAGGATGAGGCAGCTGGTGGGGAGGGGTGCAGGTTGAGGTCTGCCCTGAGAAGGCCCTGGGGAAAACATTTCCTCCACTCCTCATGCCAGCCTCACCTCCAGCCCCTGGATCCAAGGCAGGGACACATCCCTGTGACTCCTGCCAGGCTGCACAGATCTAACCTGCTCCCATCAGCCTCTGACATCCGCCCCCAGCCCAGCATCCCTGCAGCATCCCCAGACTTCTGTGGGATGTGGAGGAGGGCCACTGGGAAGAGCTTCTCTCCAGGTTGGAATTCCTTAGTAGAATGCAGAAAGCTGGAGGTCACAGAGGCCTCTGTGATATCACCACAAGGGGAGTGAGACCACTTGGAAAGAAGACTCTTTGAAGAGAAGGAAGAAACTAAACAACCATGACTTACAATGAAAAGGCCCAGCGGCAGCAGTGGAACGCCCATACCGTCCTCTCCAGGTGGAGCAGGGCTCAGGAGAACCATATGGAGTTTGGAGAGGCAGTAGTTGCACTGAGGGCCCGCCCCTCTGTCCTGCAGAGTACCATTCACGAGTCCTACAGTCAGCCAGAGGAGCAGGTGCTCATCAACCGCCAGGACGTCATGAACAAAGTGGTAAGGATAGCTCTCGCCCCACAGTGGCCTCCTGCAGCTGTGCTCATGGGCAGCAGGCCCTCATGGTAACTCTGCCCCCTCTACTCTCTAAACACTCCCAGAGGACCCTCCCCAGCAGTGATCCCTGAGTGACTGCCCATGGTATGTTAGTAATTCCCTGGCAGTACCCTCTGTAGGAACCCTTATATAATGATTGTCTTCACTGTCAGAGAGTCCCAAAAGATTCTCTGGCAATGACTTCCACAAAGATCCTCCAATAGTAATCCACTTTTAGTGGCCATTTAGATAGTGACCTCTACACTGATGTCTCCACTCCATGATCCACTCTCAGATGACTTCCCCCGAGTAGAGTGGGCCCCAGGGGCCCCCATTCTCTAAGAGCAAACCTCCAGGCAGAGGCTCCCTATGGTGACAGCTGCCTGAAGGAACGTCCTGCCCTCTCCCAGGATGCCTGGGACGTGCAGGAGTTCATCACTCGCATGTTCATCAAGCAGCTGCTTCGACACCCTGCCTTCCAACTGCTGCTGGCCGTGCTGCTGGTGATCAACGCCATCACCATCGCTCTCCGTACCAACTCCTACCTGGACCAGGTGGGATGCCATCATGGCCTCTACCCCACTAACCCTAATGGGGGCTTCCCTCTCCCCAGCCTCAGCCTCCTCAACTGTCTATGATAGTTGAATTGGATGCTCTTCAAGCGTCTGTCAGCTCTGACCTTCTAGCAATCTGGAGATCAAGGAAGACTTCATGGTGGAAGGGCTCTGTAGCCTGGCTTTGATGAATGCATTGGATTTGTAGAGGAAGGGCAGGAGAAGAAGGATGTGAGCAGAGGGAGGCAAATGGATACTTTCTGGAGGAGGGGTATTCAATTCTAACCAGCAGTCACTAAGGGAGAATCACTCAGTGCCAGGCAGGCACTGACTGTGCAGAGTGCCAGGGTCCCAGGGATAGTAGGCACAACTGGGTCCTGTCGCAGACACACAGAAAATCTCACTACAAGTGCCTAAGTAGCACCCAGAGTACATGGAGGCTCAAAGAAGGCACTCAAACCTAATCTGGGGCATCAGAGCCGGCTTCCTGGAGAAAGTGACAATAGAGCTGAGAGTAAAAAAGCAGTAGGATGTGGGCCAGGTGCGGTGGCTCACGCCTGTAATCCCAGCACTTTGGGAGACCAAGGTGGGTGGATCACAAGGTCAGGAGATCGAGACCATCCTGGCCAACATGGTGAAACCCTGTTTCTACTAAAAATACAAAAGAATTAGCCGGGCATGGTGGCGGGCTCCTGTAGTCCCGTCTACTCGGGAGGCTGAGGAGGCGGAGATTGCGCCACTGCACTACAGCCTGGGCAACAATTCGAGACTGTGTCTCAAAAAAAAAAAAAAAAAAAGAAATAGGATGTGATCTTTGTCACTACAGCAAAGAAAAAGAAAACAAGGACATGTAGGAGTTGGCCAGGCAAAGAGAGGTGGGAGAGAGAGCGTTTGGGGCAGAAGAAACAGCATGTGAGAGACTTCTCTGTGTCCAACTTGAAGTTCAGTATAATTTATCTTTGATGTTTTAATTTCTTTTTTTTTTTTAGAGGCAGGGTCTCTGTCACCCAGGCTGGGGTGCAGTGGCGCCATGTTGGTTCAATGCAGCCTTAAGCTCCTGGACTCAAGTGATCCTCCTGCCTCAGCCTCCCAAATAGCTGGGACTACAGCTACAGGCACAAGCTATGATGCTTGGCTAATTTAAACATTTCTTTTTGAGCTGGGCACAGTGGCTCACACCTGTAATCCCAAAATTTTGGGAGGCCAAAGCAGGTAGATCCCTTAATGTCAGGAGTTCAAGACCAGCCTGGCCAACATGGAGAAACCCCATCTCTCTGAAAATACAAAAATTAGCCGGGTGTGGTGTTAGACATATAATCTCAGCTACTTGGGAGGCTGAGGCAGGAGATTCGCTTGAACCAAGAAGGTGGAGGTTGCAGTGAGCCGAGATTGCACCACTGCACTCCAGCCTGGGTGACAGACTGGGCGACTGGAGCGAGACTGTGTGTCAAAAAAATTTTTTTTTCTTTTTTAGAGGCAGGGTCTCACTATGTTGCCCAGGCTGGTCTGGAACTCCTGGGCTCAAGCAATCCTCCAGCCTTGGCCTCCAAAGTGCTGGGATTGTAGGTGTGAGCCACCACGCTGGGCTGAAGACTATTTAGAATGCTTTTTTGAATAATGGTGTGGATGTCCTATTGTCTCCGGTGGCCACCAGGGTGGAACTGAGAGAATAAACAAGGGAAAAGAAGCTTTTCCTCATCGTAGGCAGAATTCCCTTTGGGAATTTGGAATAGTTGAGGAACCCATAAACCTTAACCTGTCATCTGAGTTTAAGCAGCTCAGCTCAGCCTGGCATTGGCCGATGGATAGGAGTGGTGGCAAGGTGTGGGTAGCAGGAGGCCCTCCCAACCCCGTTATGTGGCAGTGGGCCCTGAGGCACTGAGTCTGTTGCACATTGGGGTGAAGAAAGGGAGTACACATTGGGAGGCTGAGGTGGGTGGGTCACTAGAGGTCAAGAGTTTGAGACGAGCCTGACCAACATGGTGAAACTCCATCTCTACTAAAAATACAAAATTAGCCAGGCATGGTGGCGTACACCAGTAATCCCAGCTACTTGGAAGGCTGAGGCAGGAGAATCGCTTGAACCCAGGAGGTAGAGTTTGCAGTGAGCCAAGATCTCACAAAAAAAGAAAGAAAGGGAGGAGACACAGTGACTTGGGTGACTGCTAGGTGGAGTTGGGCACTGTGGGGGCTGTTAGTGGGTTCGAAGCCATGTGAAGCTGAAGGAGAAAGTTTGAGGTTGGGAGAATGTGAGTTAGGCTCTGGACAGACCCCAGTCATCCATCTACCAATTCATCCATCCAGGGTGCATGTCCTGGACCCATGAGTAGCAGGATACCCAGGAGTTTGGACAGACCTGACCTGGAGAATTTGGAGAGCTAGAGCAGCAGGAGAGGTTAGGACAGATGGAGCTTGGTATCCTCCATTCTCAGGGGCCAGGCCTTTTCCTCCCAATCCTGGAGCCTGTTCTGCTTCTCCTACCTCCTTCTCCAAAATATACCTACACTAGAGGTTAGGGACAAAGGTCTATAATCAGACAACAATCTTTTTTTTTTTTTTTTTGGATACATTGTCTCGCTCTGTCATCCAGGCTGGAGTGCAGTGGTATCATCTCAGCTCACTGAAACCTCTGCCTCCTGGGTTCAAGTGAGTCTCCTGCCTCAGCCTCCTGAATAGTTGGGACTATAGGCGCCTGCCACCACGCCCAGCTAGCTTTTTTTTTTTTTTTGTATTTCCAGTAAATACGGGGTTTCACCAAATTGGCCAGGCTGGTCTTGAACTCCTGACCTTGTGATCCACCCACCTTGGTCTCCAAAGTGCTGGGATTACAAGTGTGAGCCACCTTGCCCAGCCCAGATAACAATCTTTATCGACTAGCTGTGTACACATAGGCACCACTCTGATTCCACTTCTGTAAGACGGGAATGAAACCTTCTTTGCAGGATAACAGTGATGGTAACATGAAGTGATGCGTGAATGGCCCTAGCACAGTGCCTGGCACACACATGCAAAGTGTGCTTTAAAGGAAGTGACAAGGGTGCTGAGGACCAACAGCAGCAATGATATGGGCCTTTCCTCCCCCAAAGACATCGTCTCCCTGCCGGCTTACCCAGGCCCTGCTCCACTGACCTCTCTGCCCCTCTTTTTTCTCTGTCTTCCATGTAGAAACACTATGAGCTGTTCTCTACCATAGATAACATTGTGCTGACCATTCTTATCTGTGAGGTTCTCCTTGGCTGGCTCAATGGCTTCTGGATTTTCTGGAAGGTGAGATCCCAAGCCCTTTGCCTCTACTCCTTCATGGGGACTGCACACCACCCAGTCCACCCCTATAATCCTGGCCCTCCAAACTGAGGGGGTGTGTGTGTGTGTGCGCGTGCGCGTGCGCACGCGCGCAGAAAGAAAGAGTTGTGTGTTAGTTCTGAGATGTGTACAATGTGGCAGAAAGTAACTAGTACTAGAAGTGC